TTTCTCTCCCAGAGCTCCTGGTGGTTTTGAACTGCTCCCAATGGTTGCAGCCCAACACATAATGCAATTCATTACCAGAGACACAGTGAGTCCAAACAGCTTCACTGGCAGTGAGTTTTGTTTTGTTTTAGTTTTCCTGTAGTTTTGAATATTTAAGAGATTTTAAAATAAATTTTGCAATGTGAAATTATTTTTATTTGAATAAGTCACTTCTGTTTTAGTCTTAATTCCTTCAAGTGGCATTTCAGCATGGTGAGCCAGAGCACTCTTACCATTAAGAAACTCAGCCTCTTAATAGACCCATTTCTTCATCTGAAAAATGAGAATAATAATGTACATTCATCATAGGACTTCTGTGTGAGAATTCAATGTGTTAGCATACAGAGCCCTTCAAAACATGCTAGGTCTGTAATATCAATATATAAGGACTAGTTGTTATTACTGATTATCTTTCTAATTTTTATATTTAAGGTGAAATATTGATTTTCAAATATAATCCTATGGGTTTTCAATTCATAATGCAGATTAAAAGATATGGAGAACAATATGAACTCATTTTACAAACTGTAGCTCTGCTCAATGATCTAGAAAATATACATTTTATTTAATATTAGATGACTCAATGTATTTCTTTTATACTTAATGGTTTACCTTCTTCCTTTTTAATTAAAAAACTTTGAGGGTAAGGAGTAATCTAATGAAAATTACAGTTGGTCTCAATTTTCCTACTAAAATGTAGTCCATCATGATTCAGGATACGTAGAGAAGGTTTAATGATGATACTTTAGCCTATTTGAAAACAGTATTTAATGTTTTGTTCTAGTTACTTTCAGTAGAACAAATTGAATTTTTGACAATCCTGTCCTTTTAACAAAATGGGCTGAATACACAAATGAAAATTTGCAAGGTTAAATCTATTTAAAACCTAGGACTCATTTCGCCTTTCCTCTGAATATGTTATCCCTTCATGATTAAATGCATTCATTAAAGACAACATGAATTTGCAGCTCTGCTATTGCATAGCTTAATAGATTTTTGTTTGATTATGGTATTGATTCAATTTTTTAAATATGTGTGGCCTACTTGCTGGGTTATTTTTCTTAAATGGAGTAAAGCTCTAGCCATTGTTTCTACTATTTCTCTTTCCCCCCTCCTGGTTCTTTTAAGCAAGTTGGAAATTCAAATCAAAGCAGAAATATTTTATACCTAGGCTGAGTCTGCATAGCCATGTTATCTTGCCTCTCCATGAGTGTGGTAACTAATAAAATCAGAGACCAACCCAAAACCAAGCTCCCTGCAATCAAGTTGATTCGGATTAAGGGACCCTAAGGAGAGAGTAGAAGGATCCCTTTGTGCTTTTGAGGCTGTAAATCTTTATGAGTGCAGAAAACCTCATTTTCTCCTTTGGCGTGGCTGGTGGATTGGAACTTCTGAATCCGCTGTCTGCATCCAACTCCATAAACCACTATGTCATGAAACCAAAGCAAACTCACTGCTGTGGAGTCAATTCCAGTGCCTAATGACCCTACCAGATTGATTAGGACTGCTCCAGTGGGTTCCCAAGGGTGTAAATCTATATGGGAGCAGAAAGGCTCCTCCCTGTCTCTCGGGTTGGCTGGTGGGTTTGAACTGTTGCCCTTGGATTCTCAGCCCCATGCATAACCCACAGTGCCACCCTGACTCCTTCGATCAGAGACTGGCAGGTGTCAAAAGAGGAACGACTACACAGAAAACCATCTAGAAGTAATCCAACCTCTTTAGATGGGATATCCTAAAGGATCTCAGGGGCCTTGACACCTCCAGGAAATCTTGCTTGAGGACAGGTAGGTCACCGGGAGTTCTGTTCACGTTGGGATTATCAAACAAGAGACATTGATCTTGAGAGTCTCGAAGAAATGTGCGCTATTTGTTGAGTAGATTAGAGGGAAGCACCAATGGCTGCTCTCGCCCCTGGAATCTCTCCTGTCACTTAGGCTGATGAGTGGGAGGGGATGATTTTGGAGGTAGGACTAAAGTTTACGCTGACCCCATTGAAGAGGAAATAGGCACTATGAGAACACTTCTGGACAATGACTAAGGAGGACCACCCAAAGAGAAGTTGTTGCATTTGAATTACAGCCCTGGTGAAGACTATCAAAAGTACCACAGTCTGCCAGAACAACATATAAATCTCTTCTTGGCAGAAATACAGCCAGAATGTTGCTTTGAAGGGATAATGGCAAGACTTTGTCTCTTGTACCTTGGACACGTCATTAGGAGAGACCAGTGTGTGGAGAAGATCACGTTTGCTAACACACAGGGTCAGTGTGGACCCGTGGCCGCAGCTGTGGGCTCAAGCCTCACAACTGTGAGGCCGGTGCAGGACCTGGCAGTGTCTTGTTGTGTCGTGCAAAAGCATTGCTAACGAACTGGAGTTGACTCAATAGTACCCCGCCACAACAAGAAAACCTAAAATATCAGATTATACTTTCAGGAGTTTCTGGTGCAAAGAGAGTTAGCTTCTGACCTCGCAGGAACAGCAACTGATGTGATGGGTGTAAGGCTGACAACATGGTTCTAGGGATGGGTCAGTAGCATAGGCAACTACATATCCAGTCCTGCTCCAGGGAGAGATTCAAGCAACACATGCCAGTAGAAGCGCGGAGGCATAAAGCCTGGTGACAGCTATTTTCTGTGCTTACCTTTTTTAACCCTCATAATGCTGATCAAGTATATAGCATAATCTCCCTTTTATAAATTAAGAGATATATAAATGGAGGCTCAAATAGTTGCATATTTTGCCAAAGGATGCACGGAGATGAGCTCAGAATAGAACCAAGAACAATTCTATGCAAGTGTTTTTATTAACCAGTTTATTAAATTGAGTGAAACATTAAATTAGAAGAAGCTATAGATGTAAGTGCCACAGATTTGAAACTTTATGTGATCGATGTTACCAGAAGAAGTACACATTTAGCCTGTGCTCAACACTCTAACGTTATTGTACATGAGAATTATTATCGAAAAGCAAGCCCTGGATTCATGAACTACAATGCCTGCAAGTTCCGAGAGTGATTGAACTCCAGTTTTCGATCAATTCTTCAGATGAAGAGTCTCTCATCTCACCGTAAATTACTATATGCTTGCCCGATAGAAATGCAAACATTTTACTGCTTTAAAAAATCTTTCTCTTTTGCTTTTCTATTATTTAGAGACAGAACAATTGATTTTTATTTCCTCTTTCAAATTACTATAGTCCAGAAACAATGAGCCATTGAATTTCTTTCACGTTTTATGATATGTTCAAATGATTGGAGAATCATTTTGGTAATGCAAAAATGCTCTCTAATCATATCAGGCTGAAATGCAATATGTACCTGGAATGAAAAAATTCTAGTAAATTATTAAAACATTTCTATGAGAATAGCATATAGGATAGCCTCTGCATATAATAAAACAAACCAAAAACATTCCACATCAATTGAAAGCTAGCTCAAAGACTACAAAAGGAATATTTCCAATACCCATGTTAAATTAGAAAGACTGACCATGACATACTAATCAGTATTATAGACACATATGTTCAGGAACCAATAAAATAAATAATAATGACTGTTCTCCACAACCTATTTTGCAAAAGACTTCCACCCATTTATCTCATTTCCTCATTAATACCTAATGCAGAAATCCAAGGACCAGTGTCCCTCGGGATGAGGTGAGGAACTTTACCCATCTCTCGATGCCTCCATGGCAAAAGATGGAACACAAACCCGGTTTCAGTTATTTCTTTCTGTGTCACAGCCCACCCCAAAAGGCCGTGGTTTAAAGTCCCTGTGGTTCTCTTGGGTTCCTCCAATTTTGTGGATCAGGAATTCCGGAAGCTCTGTAACTGGGTAGTTTGTTTCTGATCTGTGGAGCATCAAATGGTGAAGAACTTCCAAGATGGTTTCTTCACTCCCAGGTCTGCCACCTCCGTGCTTCTTGGCTTCTTTCTATCTTCCAGGACCTCTCCATACCGCATGGAATGCTCATGACAAGGACTCATCAGGGTGGTCACACTTCTTATATGGTGGCTGCCTTCCAAGACAAAGAAGCAGAAAGTGAGAACACAGGGAAGGACTATGTCAGGAATTGGCACAACATCTCTTTTGCCATATGTAGATACATATGGATATTTATACGTATGTATGTATGTCAAAGCAATCACAGCACCTTCTCAGATGCAAGGGGATGGACAAAGTCACACATAGCAAAAGAATGTAGAGGATGAGAGATAGCGGTGTGGCATTTTGGGAAGCTTGAATCATTCCCAAATGCAGATCTCTTCTGATCCATGTTTAGTCTCCACTACACCAAGATGAAGGAGCTCTCTTGAACAGTGGGCTACTTGGGCTACGAGCTGCAAGGTCAACTATTTGAAGCCACCAGATGATCTTAGGTCAAAAGAGGAGGCTTTCAGCTCTTGTCAAGGTTTACAGCCTGAGGAATGCACAGAGGCAGTTCTACTCTGTCCTACTAGTTCTCTCTGAGACACAATTAACTCAATGGCATTGAGGGACACCACATTGCTCCCTAGGAGGACCAACAACAAGGAATCAGTCAGTCCGTATTATTTTAAACTTATATTAATGGCCACAGTATACCCATGCCAGTAAATTCTAATCTAATCAGATCATAGATCATGGAGTATTTTGTGCTACTATTCCTAACCAAATGGATTTAATTATGCTTAGGGTAGTGTCCCAAACCTAATTTTTACAGCGCCTATAGATTCTACTGTGAATTCTTGTGGCGCTATGAACTTGACATCTACCTGCTATTTCAAATCCAATTTACTACCCAATCATTTCTCTAACTCTGCCTGTTTCCCCTCACCCCATCTCACTGAACTTCTATAATGTCGCTGAGGAGCCCTGTGGCATAGTGGGAATGCATTGGGTGCTAACTGCAAGGCTAGCAGTTTGAAATCACCAGTTGCTCTGTAAGACAAAGATGAGGCTTCCTGTAAAGAGTTAGGGACTACCGTTTCTCGGCCTTTGGCTAAGATCAAGTATAATATCTTTTCTTATCAGTTCAACTTCTGATATGTCCTCTAGCTGAGGACAGCATATTAAATTGTTTTTGCTACTGGGAGTTGGACTAGGAGCTTGCTCCACCGCTGCATGCGTCAACCTGGTATTGCAGTACTTCCAGGAATGGGGCGGTCCCTCGGGGGCTCTCTCTACTGTGTAAAGTCAGATTTAACAGCATTTTCCCCTTCTTGGTGTAGCTTTTGCTGTGTATCTATCTTAAACTTCCAGAATTTGTTTCTTCTTGCTGTAGGAATACTACTTGATTCGTCATAATTCTATTTCACTTAGGTGTGTTTCTACTCATTCATATAACTGTAACTGGTCCTTGCTCACTAGCCAAACCACCAAACTAGCTATCCCATTTGATCTTTGGTTTCTTTCTTCTCCTCTCTTTCTTTCCCTAACGAGTTTCCTCACTTTTTGAGAATTCAAATTTTAATAAATATTAAAAACAAAAAAAGAGTTAGGGTGTCTGAAACTCACAGGGGCAGTTCTACCCTAGGCTATCAGGTTGCTGTGAGTCAGAATCAACTCAGTGGTAGTGAATTTGGCTCTGGCTTTTAATAATGTCCCTGAGTTCTCTCATTGGACAGGCACTGTCAACTACTTTGTTTACTTCTCAGCCCTCTTCTCACCAACTTCCATGCTTGCACAAGATACTACAACTCAACTGCCGAGCAAGGAGACAAAATCCACCCATCCTTTAGAATCCAGCCCAGCCTGAAAATTCCTTCCACCCCCATTTGCTCTCTTCTTCATTTCCTCACCACCAAGTAAAATGTAGAAAAAGTTAAGAATCCTTGCAAGAATAAAATGTCAGATAAAGGCAAGAGGTAGGGAGCTCAGCTGGTGATCACAAAACAAGGTAAAGATCCAGAAGCTGGAAATGAGGATGTATAGAAGAGAACAAGAGAAGACGAAAACAACCACCTCACTACCATTGAGTCTATTGACCCTATAAGACAGGGTAGAACTGCCTTGGTGGGTTTCCAACACTGGAACTATTTACGGGAGTAGAGCCTCATCTTTCTCCCATAGATCAGCTGGTGGTTTTGAACTGCTGAAGCATAAGCACTGGGCCACCAGCGCTCCAGAACACTAGAAGACATGATTAAAGGTTCTTGAGGAAGAGATTTGTCCTTCAAGAAAATAATACTCACAGCATGGAGCATGATATCCTGGACAGGAGCAGGGCAAGAACGGAAGCAAGGAGATTATTTGGGGATTAATCATTCATTCAGAGGCAAGGAAAATGAGCACATGTACTATGGCTCCAAAAATGTCAGATGGGACAGTTTACAAAAATATTTTAAAAGAAAAATTACTCTTTTTTATTACTTTTTTAATTTTTAAAATTACTTTCTTTTCTTTTGAGTAATTGGATTTGAGAATGAGGAAGAAATGCAGGCATTATATTGGGAGGTCGAACTAGATTCGTATTTTTGTTAGAAGTGAGAAACCCCATGTGGATTCATTTGTGTTGAATTGAATGACCTTAGATGTCCTTATTTCCCAGTGGAAGTAGTGCTTCATGTTTTCAAAAAGTGCCCTGAAATAACAGTTATTACTTGAGTCAGTGATGCTGCAAAACCATTTAGTTCTCTGCACAAAACAAGAATCATGCTTGGCTTTCTTTGTGGCATAATTTTAAAAAAAGATCAAAGTCTCTTTGCACAAAGGAAAACATGGGTAATCACACGAGCAACGTAGAGAAGACCACACGATGTGCTTCTTACTAGTTTTCCTTCAGTAGGGCACTGCTGTCATTTTGGCAATTACCTACAAAGTGATGGTTGGGTAAAGAGCCCTGGTAGTGCAGGGGGTGAAGTGCTCTTAAAAGCACTTAGTCTTTCAAACCCACCAGAAGCTGGCCCATGTTTCTCAGTTTATGGTCCTTGTCCTCCCTTGTCAAAGTCATCCCAGTCAAGTCTGTCTCACACACCAGCACTGTGACAATCACTTTCCTGCTTCCCTATCTTACTTGCAAAAGCACTTTTGGTAACAAGGGACCCACTTGGAAATCCCAAATAATCTTCCCATCTCAAGATCCTTAACTTCACATCTCACACATCTGCAACATCCTTTTTGCCCCATAAAGTCACATACTCAGATTTACCAGCAATTGAGACATGGAAAAATTTGAGGGACTAACATTTTGCTTACTACAGAAGTATGATTTGCCAACAGGTTAATGGTGTTTAGGAATATTTCCCATCATCAGGAGGACCACCATTATTAGCTAGAGGAGAGAAGCTCCTGACATCTTGATTTGGAATTGTGAATTAATCTTGAGCAATTGAGACTGCGTTATGAATGCTTATGAAATGTTGCCAAGGACTAAGTTGAGCTGTGTTTGAGGCAGGGTTCTCTAGAAAAACAAAACCAGGGCACTTATGATTATCTATATATAAAGGGTTAGGTTTATACAGTGAGAAGGAATATAACAGCTAAGTAGTTCACACAGCAGTACAGAGGGCTCAGTTCAACTCACTTTCAGGGAACAGTTAATATACCGCAAGTCTTTCAACTCACTCAGGCTGCTGGTCCAAGGTCAAGGAAGCAGACAGTGGTGTCTTCCTTCAGGCAAGACAGGCGGAGTCTGCCCACAGGCAACAGACAGCAGGGAGGGTCACCAACAGTTTCAGTAGCATGGGAGCTTAGCGAAGCAGGCCCTGATGGGATCTCAAACCCAAGGGATGCACCAGAGACAGGGTCCACCAGCCTCAAGTTCAAGTGATGGATGTATGCACCAGCAGCTTGGAGAAGCTGGTCCTGAAGGAGCCTTGAGTTCTAGCAACATGACCCATGGGGTTGGCTTGGCCCACAGGTAGTGCAGCACATGGTTGAAGCAAAGAACTAGCTCAAGCAGTACTTACTGGTCTGATCACCAGGGAGGAAGAAAGAAGGGGATGGGCCTTGGAAAGCTATTTAACTTGTTGCCCTCCAATCAAGTTCTGACCTGATTAAATTCCTCCCACATGTTCCTATTGTCCTAGTTGGCACAATAAACCTAACAATCACAGTCTGCTAATCACAAAGTCAACAGTTCAAATCCACCAGCTGCTCTTTAGGAAAAAGATGAGGCTTTAAACTCTCATAAAGATATACAGCCTTGGAAACCCACCAGAGCAGTCCTACTTTGTCCTATAGGGTTTTGTGAGTCAGAACTGAATCTATGACAGTGAGATTAAACAAAATTTTTTTGCTTTTCTGTGGAATCCATACTATTACTTTTTACAGCTCAGACCCAGTTTAGATCACATGCATTTTGCTTGTAAAACTTTGAAAAACTATCATTTAACACATTGGTCTGGGGAATTGAAAGTATCTGATTTCCCAATAACTACCTCTCAAAGGATCCTGAAAACACCAGTAATATCTAAAGCAGTTACTATCTATCATTTGAGAAAGTGAGCCAATAAGCCTATTTCCACATTTCTTTTAATTTGGTGTTCCTATTAGCTGGTAGAATCTCGGAGTCCAAAACAAGGGGAATGGTTTGGTGGAAGCTCATTATTCAACTAATATTTATTATGTCTAACCATTGGTGGTACAATGGTTAAACACTCGACAGCAAATCAAAGGCCAGTGGTTAGAACCCACCAGCCTCTCTGCGAGAGAAAGATGTGTCCGTCTGTTTCCATACAGATTTGTAGCTTTGAAAACCCTGTGGGGTGGTTCTACCCAGTCTTTATTATGAGTTGGAATCATCTTGACAGCAGTGAGAATTTTACTCTGACTGGGCCTAGAAACTGCATTTTCTGTGATGAAAGTGAGTGTGGTAGTCACCTAAGCTGGTGTCAATTTAAGGATTAAGAGTGTAGGGGTGAAGTCTAGGCTGTCAATCTGGAGATAGCCAATGAGACTTCTGAGTGCGCATGGCCTTCTCCTGAGAATTCTGCTACTGTTTTGTGAGTCTGAAGAGGACTTTATAGATTGGTATCAGACATATAAGCTAATATCAGACTTATGGCCTTGGTCTGTTCCATTCTTCTTGTATATAAACCCCTCCCTTATATACATATGCGTGTTGATGAATTTGTTTCTCTAGTCTACCCAGACTAACACAGTAAGCAAGCATGGTACTACCCTGTAGTATTAAATTTAAAAATGGCGCGGTGGAGGGAGGTGGGAGTCCAGCCCCCACCGCTAGTACTCCTATTACTACTACTCAGATTCAGTAATACTACTTCTGGGTTCAGTAATGCACAATTGTATGGTTGAGATATATAAGTATTATATTAGAGTCATCGAGAGCATGAGAGATATTACAATAATACAGTCAGACACATTACATGGCAACATTGCTCACCTCAGCCCAGCTTAGTGGTCCACGTGGAGAGAGGGGGAAGGGAAGGAGGGGAAGGGAACAAGGGAGAGGGGAGTGACCAGGGAGTGAGCAGCAAGGAGCTCAGAGTCAGAGAGAGAAGTCCGAGAGCTCTATATTGCTGACCCATGCCTATATACCTTTTGTGGCATGCCAGCCCACTAACTACAGGTAGAGATATACGTCACAGGGAGGGGTTACACTATAGGGTACCCAGTAATGAGAGGGTGGTCTCTGGGTCTGTCTCTGGGTCTCCATAGGAACCATTATCAGTAGGGTGCAAACCCCTCCTACAGGAACCAAGCTAATGGCCTTAGGCTCCAGAGAGGTAACCCATTGTCTCTAGCAGCAGGGAGTAGGGCAGCCTGGCAACTGATTGCCCTCAGGGGGGGAAGTGCCTGTGCATCTGATCTCCCCCAAGTCCCCCTTTTGTTTTATATATAAAATTCAAAAGAGCCACAGTGGCTACACTACCCTCCCTGGGTTTACAGTCTATTGGAAATAATTATGGGAAGAAGAAGAAGAGAGGTACCGATCAAGATCACCAGTAAGCTGTGGGACTGGGAGGGCCTGATGAGTTCTCATAATGAGACTCTTTTGTCAGCAAGTAGAGAAGACTGGTGACAGGCAAGGAAGATAGCCAAAGGGGCTTGAGTGAACTCCAGCCTGCTTTAATGATTTTGTCAGGGTCAGTACAGTTGTCTGGTGGGCATGTGCCTTGGGCACTATTGCTTGAAAAGAAAAGAAAAAAAAATCCATTTCAGAATGGCAGATTTCCCTCTTTTCAAAAGCTCAGAGAAAATGGTTTGA